ATATCTTTCATGATATAGTATTAAAATTAAACTATGGTAGTAAATGATACATTGGCATAAATAGCAAAATAGAGTAACTTTGTATATTGGGAAATAGTTGAATATATCTGAGAAATTAACAAATTGGGAAAGCATCTTTACAGTCTAAATGATATAACCATGAAATTCTCTGCTACATATTTTGGCCTTTACCAGGATTGTCAATTGCTATTATAGTTTATAAATGAAAATGTTGTTATACTCTATTTATATCATACAAATTTAAGGAGAGAGGTATGATAGTGAAATATCAAATACAGATTGTATTTCAAAAGCATGTCAGCTTGAAAAGGGAAAGGAAAATAAATTGATGTCCCATAATCTCTCACTGTTTTAATTCCGTATCAGTTTGTCATTCTTGTAGTAATCGTTCTTGTTTAGATTGCATGGTGCTGAGATACATACTACAGAGCACCGAAAGAGTTAATTTCAGTTAACATTCTGTCTCTCATCCCATGCTGCTATTTGAATCACAGATGTTATATTCCTTTTTTCTTAATTTCTGTGAGGCAGAAGAACCTTTATTTCTCTTTCTAACCTAGTGGCAGGATAACCACAACCTTCTGGTTGCACTCCAGATCTTTAACTGCCCCAAGTCATGCCACAGCTCACGGCAGAATTCCAGATTCCCTGTCACCTCACTCTTGCAACGTTGACCTTTGCATACATGGACTTCATGTGTTGCTGTTGCTAATTCCAATTGTTATGGACCTCTGATTTTCCATTAGTTTCTCCTGCTTAAAATGAAATTTTTGATCTTTCCAATTATACTGCTTTCTAGAAAATGGAAATCTTGAGGACCAAAAAGCATTTACTTAGGGAAGCTAAGGTGGTTTTCATCACTTCAAGAACTCCTCAGCAACATCACAATTTTTAGCTTTTCTGCAGTGTTCAAAATATTCACCCCAAACATGACCCAAAAAATTTACTCTGAGGTTACTAAGAACTTATGAATATTTATGTTTAGGATTGGCAGTAGCAGATAAATGGTCTCTTCAGTAAAGATTATAATACTTTTCGGGGGGCTGTGGACAATAAAAAAGAAAATGTGATCTCTTGTGCTATATTTCCCTTGAATCTGAGTGCCAGCCATTGGGGAAATTGTAATAGGAGCACAGCACTTCATATAAAAAGCGCAGATGAAATAAAAGATGAAAGCCTGAGCAATAATGTAAGAAACTTTATTTCTGGATCAGAAAAATTTGTTACACTCAAAAGTGTACTCTAATTAGCTGCTGTCAACAAGCTGTCAGAAAAATGGACAGGTTATTTGCTAAGTTAAAGAAACTGCTTCTGTGTTGAGTATGTGTCATAACTACCAAATCAAATGAAATGTTTTATGTCATGAGGTACAATTGTTAGCAGAAGGAAAGCAAGTGATATAGCAATCAGTGACTTTCAAACTTGATATCTCAAAGATAGTTTTTTTCTGAAGAATAATATAAAATGCTTTTTCATTAGATGTTATATGTGAAGAGAAAAATTACAGCATGAAATGGAGGGATGCAGATCTTACAATGTTCGTTCACATTCCATTCTTAATATAAAGGCACTGCTCGAAATAACACTTGGCCTCATATAATTGTTTAACTTCTTTGATTCCACTAGTTTTATCATTCCATTGAAATGTAATTACTTTTCCTCCATATTAAATTTATTTTGGGATAAAGTTTTATTTTGGGATAAAAAGGGATAATGCTACTTTCATGTTTCCTAGAGGAAAAACATAGCTTATTTGTTTTGATTGTAAGTCAGCCATGTAAGTGATATATCATGAGATGTTTCACTACTTGTTTACTCTGTGTATATTAGTTTGTTACTACATGCACTTTTGCTGTGACATTCTGTTTGTGCAAGTACAGTTGTTTTTACTCTTAAGGTTTTCCTCATTGATTAGAGTAAAATTGTAATTTAGAAAACAAGTAGTATATGCACTATTAGGTAATGTTTTTTTCTGTTTTTCCTTCCTAAAGAGTGATAAGTTCCTATAGGATAGACATATTGTTAAAACCATTGCTTATTGGTAACATATTTTGGAGAAACTCTTGTTGTTTTTGTATTTATTGATTTCTGATCATTTTTTTACAATGATATCTCAAAGTATGCTCTTTATTTTGATTAATACTCCCCTAAATGGGAGTAATGATACCATACTTTCCCTAACTGCTTATGCCTTAAAAGTGCTACTTTGCACTATTGAAAAATTGTTAGAAATAGTTAGCCTGGGAATTTGAATAACTGCTTAGTTCATTATATTTCAGTAACACTGATTTAATTAATATCTTTTCCCTATCCTTGAAACGACCAGCAGAGTGAAACCTCTAGTAGTGATAACTATTGTAAATTTTTCTCTAGTTTTGCCAGTAGTCTAACATATTTTCCTTAAAGGTCAAAAATTCAGTAAGCAGCAGGTTTTTTTAGCTTGCTGCAGAAACATCTGGGTGTATTGAGAAATTTTGCATAATTATATGGTTTTTATGTAGAAATATATAATACCCACATAATTATGCTAAATTTCTCAATAAAATTCAATAAAATCACCACATAAAATTGCACAAGATTTTCAATATTATTAACTGTTAACAATTTTAAGCTTAAATTCTAACATACCCAGTTCCCAAATCTGTGTTTGTTAATATCATTGTCATTAGCTAGCAAATGAGGGGTAGGATTTACTTTATTTTGTTGCAGTTGTAATGAAAGACCTCCATTTAACTGCTTTTTGATGTTTATTGTATCTATCAGACGAACAACACCTTTAAGGATTTGAATTAGTGTTAAGCACTATATAGAACTACCGAATGTAATAGTTTCTTCAGTTTCCCATCTAAGTTGGTTTCCCATCTAAGTTGGTAGAACATAGCTTGTACACAGCTTGTAAACTTATTGACCACATTGGTAATTTAACTAATATATCATTCATAGAGTGAAAAGTCATTTTTGTGCGCAGGTATGATGATTGTTTTAGTTAGCAAAATAACTTATCTTGCTTTCCTCCCCATGAGTCCATCGAATTGACCTTCTAAACAGTCCTTTCTAACAATATTTAACACACTAGCGACATTTCCTGTTCTAAATTTACATTTTTGGGCATCATCTTTTGTTTTTAGTGTTTACATAAATAAGCATGAAACAAAACAGCATAAGATCTAAAAGGGTAGGACCTAAAGTGGAAAAAAAGTAGTGTATGTGTGTGTGTATGTATATGTGGGGAACAATTTCTAGAAATTATATGAGAATTTAGACATTCTTAAATTAGCAGTTGCTAACTTGTTATCAGGATCTTGACTTTAGACCTTTCAGTATTACTTAGGACTAAACAGCTGCAAATTTTGTGATCTGGATTGAGAGAAAGAATGATGTATAATGTAGCCAAGCATAGTATTATTAGTTTAATTGTGATATACTTATTTCTGCAAAATTTAGGCCTCACTTTCCTAGAAAAGCTTGCTGTGTGCAATCTGAGATCCAAGCTCTAAAAAAAAAATTCTAATTTTGGTGGAAAATATCAGAATAAATAATAATTTAATTTATTGTCATCGTCTTATTCAAATTTGCATTGACTTGTTATTTATCAGTAACAAGCAAACAAGATGGTAGATGCAGAATGAGATTGAGAGAAGCAGATTTGAAACCCTATAAAGCTTGTTGGCTGTTGTCCTACAGCTTACTTTCTGGTTAAGATCCTTCCCTCCAAATTTATTTTCTTCTGGTCACCAAAAAAGTCTCAAAAGATGTATGGTAAATTCTCTGATTAAAAGACGCATATGGAAAATCCACTTTCACCTTTCCCTTGTCATAGGTTTCTGCATTTGTGGTTCATAATTGCACTTGGCTGAAATAATGGATGTAGTGGCTTTATTGAATCTGATAAATATTTAAGTTAACATTAATCTTAACAAGTAGTCATCCTTCGTATGTGCTTAAACTATTTTGGGCAATAGGTGCATTTTTCCTCTTTTAGATTTCAATTTTATATGTGTATGTGTGTGCATATATAGATATACATATTTTATTTTTATTATTTTTAATGCTTCTGAAGTTTATAAGAAAGGTAAGTAGACTCTTACTTCATTTAAAACATTTTTGAAAACTCTATGTTTTTACTTAACCATGATAAAAATTAGGTCACAAAAACACTTCTTGACCAGGCACAATACTTTTCCACTTTGGAGATATTTGACTGTTGATGTAGCTGCTTCATTTTTATGAATAATCAAGTTTTTTGCACAGCATACACAGTTCATGATTTGCCCGAATGTTTACACTTGCTACTCAGACTGTAATAAATTGTCACATTGTTACATAATTCTGATCTTAGACCACATAGTGCAGTGGAGTTTTAAGGTTCTCTATCATTTTCTCTAGGCAGCTCAAGGTGGTGGTCACAGAACCCTGCTGTACGGCCACGCTATACTACTTCGACATTCGTTTAGTGAAATGGTAGGTACAAGTGCACTTGCGTATTATTGAACACTAAACTCAAGTCTTAACAAACATTTGAAAAAAAGTAAATATTATACAAACTCAGAAGTATAGTCTTCACAATTTCTCTTCTGAACTAGATGATTCAGGACAATGTTTTAAAAAGTATCTAGGAGCTTAAGGACTCTCAACAGAATGTAAGTGGCCCTTATGTTTTAAGTGCAGGTTTTTCAGTCCGTTTCTCTCGCACGTAGCTGAAAAACTCCTTTAATGATGGATTATTTCTATGTCGTTAGGAATCCTATCTAATGTTTTATTCCGTTAGCAAGTGGCTGCTGTCCAGAAAGAATTTGTCATAACGTTTTTTCCAGATTTTTTTGTAAATAATTGTTTTTTCCAAAAATATTTTATAAGATAAGGATTTCCTCTTAACGTTGTTCTCTGAGCCCACAAATGTGCTCTCTTCGGTCCACCTCATATGGATTTTATTTCATCATATTTGTAGAACTGACAGACTTTAACTTTCATTTTCTAGAGATCTTTGCCATAGTAGGGCAAAAAAACTACCTATGCAAGCGCAAATAATAAAAGGTTGAAGTAATAAGAGGTGAAGAAAGCATCTTTTCTCCTTTTTCCTGTACTAGAAGACATTACTTTGGTCTTTAATCTCTGTTGCTTACATCTGTGAACCGTGTGAATCATATTTGCTCTGATAGAGCAGAGTTGCAAGTATGGAGATGATTGCTTTTTGACATGCTTGGTACGTTTTTGTGAAGCAAGCATATTACAGCAAGACTGTAATAAGATACTTGCTTGTTCTTATCTCATAAGCTTTGTATGTGAAACTTTGCAGTTTAGAAGGTGGCGGTTATCCTGCACGGAGAAATACATGCTGAATTGAAAAAGGATTTTAATGATTTTAAGGAAGTCAGAGAGAGCATGTATACAAATGATACCACACTTAACTTCTCCAGTTGTAAACATTTAAGCACGGTTGGCTAGCAGGATAGAGTAATGTGAACATAGCATCAACCTGGAATGTGTGTCAACAGATGTTGTTGTTTTTGTTTTCAATAACTTCACTATGTTTTGCAGTATTTGACATGTTTAACAACATCAAGATCCCAGACGGATAAACTTGCATTTGATGTGGGGCTACGAGAAAACGCAGCAGGTATGCCAAGTTGTATTCCAAGAAATGTATGTCAGTACATTTCTGCTTTACAAAGAGGCATTGTGATTAATGGCATTGTAAGCTTTTGAATGTCACGTTTATTTGTTGGAAATAAGGTGACTGATTTTCAGGAAAAAAATCTGCAGTAAATTGACTGCTTTTGTATAAGAATGTAAGAGTATCTCTACAAATATCACAACTGCACCAACACTGTTGAGAATAGTTGAAATATGAATTTCTGCCCAATAAAATTAAAACAGATTTGATGCATTTATTTTCTAATTGCATATTTTGGCACTTGCAGTAGAATTAGTATATGGCAATCTTTTTTTGTTATCAATGTATTTATAATATACATTGCAACCATGCAAAAAAGAAGTATGCAACACAACAAAACAGAAAAAAATGTCATTAGAACATTGCGAAAACAACTGAGGGAAAATAAAAACATAAAATGACGAAAATAATAACAGGGCAGAATGGGAGAGAAAAAACAGAAACCAGAAATGATGAGAAAGCTTTAAAATCTAGTTAATAGATTTCTGGGAGTACTGCCAGAACAAGTGCTGGTCATAAAAACATTGTAAAAAGAAAAAAAAAAAAGAAAAACTTCCATGAAATCACATAAAAAATTCTCAAATGCCAGTGGGAGCTGTGTTAAATGAATTTAAAAGCAGTCTCGCACCTGGAGCTGCAAATAACTGTATATGCAGTATTAACTGTTGCTGGAGCTAAAGACCACTGCATCTGAAAGTAGCAAGTGACTCTGTGGGGCCCATTCAGAAACATATACCTTGAAAGGAGAAATCTAAGTATCCCTACTTATATCAGTAACGTGAAGCCTCAAATAGAAGAAATGTTAGTTCCATTAATATCAACATATTTTTCATAGTTTTTTTCAATTATTTTGAAAATAAAATAAAAAACAAAGTAGAATAATTGGTGATGGATAAACGCTGCCATGTAAGTATTACAGTATCTGTGGACTATGATCTTTGAAACTTCTTTCTCAGGTAGCTCTCACAATCTATGTATTTTGTATCTTTGTGGCTATCTGTTTTGAATGAGCAAAGTTTTTATTTCAGTCTTTTGTAGCTGTACAGAAAAGGGTCTCAGACAGACGTTAGCAGCCTGTTACTTGATTTTATCTTTGAATGCTGCCTTTGTAGATTGAGACCATTTTCTTTAGTCATATTGCTACTGGGAATGTATGTATTCTGTTTCTCTGAAAATAGCATCAGTGAAATCAATCTTCATAATTCTACTATTTCAAAGTTACTGTGCATGTGTCTACTGTGCCCATGAGGCTTTGTAATTAATATCTTTAGTTATCGGATATCTCATATTTGCTTTACTGCACATGAGCAAGAAGACACACTGGTAATGTATAAAAAGCAACGCATAAAAGGAGTGCTTAGCTGTGTTTCTATGCTGAGCATTTTGATAACTACTGTATGCTTTTAAACCTCATAAACTGAACCTCTTAACATCACTTCCCTTCCCCCCCCCACCATTAAACTGCTTATTGAATCAGTTTCAGCTGTAGGAAGCATTCTTGACCAAGCAAGTATTGAATCACAGCCACTGGATATTTGCAATTAGTTTTCTATTAAGGATTTAAGACTTAGCACTTTTATTTTTAGAGATGCAGCTTTTATTTATTATAATCTTCATAATTAGTTTCATAACCTTCAAATTTTATCTTATGATGATTTTACATCATTTTACTCTTTGGCCATTTTGTCTTTGTTAAGTTCTCTCTTACTTTGTATTGCCCAGTGAGAAGGCTGTCTTCAGTTTTTTGTCTTCTTCAGTCTTAACTAGACCCTGAAGGGTGTGAAAATGTGGAACTAATTAGATAAGCTCCCTAGAGTTGTTGATCATGTGCAAAGTAATCTAGATCTTATTAGTAAAGTACAGGAAAAGTTCTGTGGTTGTTGCCTTCAGGCTTGGCTCTCTGTAATCACGTGTTCTGTAGTTTCAATGGAATTGGTGCCAGAATTGATGTTTATAGTGTAGTGATATTGTAGAGTTATGAAGCATTTAGGGTGGCAATGGTACAAAAGACAGTAAATATAAATATGAACGTTAAGCAAAAGAAGATGCAAAAGGTGATAATTAAGACAGGTATCTGTCAGCAATTTATTGCCTGTGGAAACCTTGAAGGGAAGGAAGTTCTAGGCAGTGTTTGGTAAGCCATTAGTTTCAGAAAAAAATCTGAATGGACAGAGAAATTAAATGATTTTATAAAGCAAATGTTTTATAAGACAAATTCTTTATTATGCTATTTCAATGGTGTATTAAAATATCCTTAAATTTCCTGGGAGTTGTCTGTTTCGTATACCCTTGATAAGTGTTTCTGTTTGTTAGGTGAGGCGTGCTGGTGGACAATACATCCTGCTTCTAAACAGAGGTCAGAAGGAGAAAAAGTTCGAATTGGTGATGATCTTATCCTGGTCAGTGTGTCTTCTGAAAGATACCTGGTGAGTTTGTTTGTTTATGAAGTGCACACGCAGAGGGGATATCCTGCTAAGACACAAATTACCATGGTGGGGGGAAAGGCTGAGACTCTATTACACAAATTCTTAAAACCAAATCTTTTCAAATACAGGAAATGATGCCTGGTTCTAATGCACTTTTTTCTTAGTGAAAGGTTTCTTCCCCCCAAGAAAAGTGATTGTTTGCATACGTTTACCCTGAGATATTCTTCAGCTTTCTCCATCTTTGGGAGATGTTATTTGTGTAACTGTGGAAGATTTCTTAGCTGAAACTGTAGTCTGCTGATTAGATTTAGAAAAGAGGGTTTTTTGAAGCAGGTCAATAACAATTGTGTAATGAATGTGTGTTTCTACTTTATTATGCATTCCTACTCTGTTGAGAAAGGAATCTTTTAAATATTTTTAGACATTCATCTTTGATTCTTTTTCTATTATTGTCATCTTGTTTCAGCATCTCTCCATGTCCAATGGAAGTATTCAGGTGGATGCCTCCTTTATGCAGACGCTATGGAATGTACATCCTACATGCTCAGGAAGTAACATTACAGAAGGTTTGTATGTTACTTTCTTTATTTAGAAATTTATATGCTTCACATGACTTTTCATAAAAATTGGAAATGGAAAAACACTAAACATCAAACCAAAGAGCATAATAAAAGTACAGAAAATGAGCATAGGAGAGGAGAACAGCAGAAGGGAAAAGCGAAATGAAGATACTTTAGCTGAGTTAACTGAAGAAAAGCTAAATGAGTGATATAATTCTAGATTAACAAAGCGTAAAAAGCTGAGTGGCAAATGAAGACCAAGAGAGCAACAGAGGAGGTTACAGTATTCAGTTAAGTTTTAGGAAGAAGCGGCTGCAGAAAAGCAAAAGCCAGTAAACTTAGACTTTGTAGAGCACTTTAAATCACCCTGTAAGAGAGGTAACAGAACAGAGCTATAGGTATATGCAAAAAGGAAAGCAGGTTTCTGACAGTTCCTATTTCATTTTCCTCATTGTCATTTTCCTTCATGTTGATTTCAGAGCCATGCTTCCTTATAATTATCTTTCTCTCTGTGATAGTCACTGAAAATGAGCTCTCTAAACAGATCATCGTAGTCAGCCTTAAATCCTGCATCACACGGTCAGGATTCCTTTGTATGTACTTGACTGTACTTGTCAACGATATTTGAGAAACCTGACTCTGTAATGAAAGGCTTATTCAATTGTTGTTACTTCTTATTTCAGTGCCATACTCTACACAGTGTGGTGTGGGCTTATAGAGCAATCAGTGAAGTCTGAATATACTCAGGAAGTTTATGCAAACCAAAATGTGATGAAAAAAAATGTAGATGACATGTCCTGCAGACCTTCACAAAGAACTATTTTATAGAAAAGAGAACTAAAAGCTTTAGTGAGATTAGAATAGTACCAAAAAAGAAATGAAAGAATAAAAAGCTGTGATTCATATTCAAGTTACTCATACATGAATGACACAAAGAATAGCAGATTTTCAGCAAAACTGTATCAAAATAGCATGTGCAGCAGAAGGCAGAGGCAAATTAGTGACTTTGTTATATTCTTGCTAGTTTTTATGCATGAGAAAACATATGAGGTGTTGGAAATACAAGAGATACTCCTGATGAGACATGACAAAGTGAAGAGGCAGTCTTTGAAGGAGTGTTTCTGAAAGAAACCAATATATAAATTCATCCAAGGACAATTTGAGAGAAATAAAAATAAAAATTGAAAAGGAATAGATAAGTAGTCAGTGCTTCTGGAATAAAAATACTATTTTAGGAGGGCTACAAAAAAAACCATCATACATCAGCATTACCAAACAGGATTTCAAATAAAAATTACTCTCTGCTATCCTGTTACTTTGTGCATGCACACTGTAAGTTCAGAATATTACCTTTTCTCATCCAGACAGCCTGAATATTGGAGCAACAAAGATACTTGAGGCTATGATACATCTTACGCCCTAAGGACAGATTATCCAGTGTTGCTTTAAATTACAAAAATCACATTAGTGACATGATAACAAACTGCATTACATGATACCTTACATCTGCTGTTTTTTGTTCAAAGTATCAACCCTCCATGTTCATGAATGATAAATGTCCCCAAGCCAGGAGTGGATCATTTTAGATCAGTTAGTTAAATCCCTCAAGCTCATCACTTTTTGGCAGGTCTGATTGTAATCTCAAAAATCCTGCTGTAATACTATTGCTTTAAGAAAAACTATTGCCAAAGTCATTGGCAATATTTAGTGGATGCGGACCACTAGTAAAAGATAACTGATTACTATACATGAGATTTCCAGTAACGTACAGCTCTCATGTTAATTTGTAATTGCTACACATTAAATTTGGACAATAACTTTCCTGTGAGGTAAGCCATGTATTGCATTAAAAGACAGAAAATACAACTCAAGTCTCAATTATCAATCTCAGGTATCAATTAAAGAGATCTTTGTCCTTACCTTGTCAATATTGACTTTAACCTTTTTTCACATTAAGTATTGGGAAGTAAAAAATTAATGGAAATAATTCATTTCACTTGTTCCTTCCTTTGCAATGTTGTTCGGATTTGTTAAACCTACTCTCTCAATTGTCAAGGATTTTACTTCTGGTACTGTGCATATGTGTATGGATATATGTAATTACACTTGTATTTTACTAGTCTGTTATATATATAAATGTGTATGATAGTATTAAATAAGTGAATTTGTTTGCAGATGTACAAGCTAAGACCACATTTTGAAAATAATTACATGACTTATGCAAGGTATTTGTACATGGCTTCATACAACATGTTTTAACTGTGCAAGCTATTCAGGTTTTTCTTTCTGTTCCAGAATTTATTGATTTTTCTTATGCAAATACTGTAGCTCAGTCTTTCATTGTTTACTGCAGCAGAGATCTGCACATTCATTCTGCTACATAGGCAGAAACTGAAAATAATTCTGGTTCTCTTTTATGATGTTTGCATTATTTATGTATGTTTTATTAACTGTCACCTGAATAATTGCCAGTTACTGTTTTCCCAATTTACAAACTTGAACTGACTCAGTCAGCATAGTATGTAGGTTGCCTTTCTATCCCTCCTCCTTTATACATATTTGTCTTTGTTCTTTGTAAAGGCGTTAATTTAACTTGCAAGGTCAGAACAGTTTGGACTGAGGGTCTGATGAATCATTCTCTTCCTACACCTCTTTTTTTAATTTCTTTTATTCTGTGAGGCAAAGTGCCTACTTTTGACCTGTAGTCTTAATGTTAAAAGGCTTATAAAGTTAACCTCCATTAAGCTCAGTTTTCAGAACAGTTGAAAATTATAATTTAAATAAAACCTTTTTGCAAAGCAAATTTGTTCTGCTTGTTTAACTTAAATGATGAATAAATATTTAGAAAATAAATTTCAGCCAGGGATTTACTTATTTATTTATTTATTTAAAGGAGGGGCTTATTTTCATTTTATCAATGTCAAACAAATGAGTGAATTTGATTCTTTTACAGGTTATCTCCTTGGTGGGCATGTAGTACGTTTTTTCCATGGCCATGATGAGTGTTTGACAATTCCATCTACAGATCCGAATGATTCACAGCAAAAGTGAGTGGTGATGCATTTTTATGTTTTCTTCTCTCTTCTCCAAAAAAAAATGTAGATTGTTGACTGTCAGTTGAATTTGAGATTAGATAGGGCCTAATTAAACTCTCTTGAGATTAATTTTGAATTAGGCATTGAAATTGTTAGAAGAAGCTAGAGAGACCTACTAAAGCAGAAAACCATCCTTAAATTCTTTTATTGTTGAAATTAAGTAGTTTTCCACTAAGATTTCAGCCTACTGTGTTGTTTATCTTTAATGTGTAATAGTATTAGCAGAAGGTAAGCGGATATTAGCACGGGAAGATGATAATTAAAAAAAATTGTTCTAGAAAAATCTCTGAAGGCTCACCCTCTGAAACGTTTTTTGTATTTTGTTTAATATATTTTGCACCTTTCTGCATGTTCTTGCTCTCTCAAATTTGATTACTATATTAAGATCATTAAATTGTGTTAGCTAGACTAAATTGTTTCTATCAAACTTAAATCTACACTTACTATATATTATGATTTATTGCTAGAATTTAATATTTATTAATTTGATTATAATCAATAACACAGAAAACTAAAAGTTTTAATAAAAAATAAGCAGCATGAAAGAATTCTGGTCAACAAACAAAAATCACCAGCATAGGAACAGGTCCCTAAGGATAGTACAGTGCTACGTTTGGAAAAAGCTGAAAAAGAGATGGAGAATTTAAGTAGTATAGGAACTTAAGAAGTATAGGAGGTGAACAGAGGCATAATAGATTATGGCAGCCAAGTCAGGCTTCCATGAAGGCATGACTGAATTTACCAAGAAGAAATGAAGGAGGTCAAGGAAAATGGAAATGGATTATCAGTTCTGAGCTTGGCTAGGAAGAGGCCGTTAGAGTCTGCCAAAAGTAACATCAGTAAAGTGAACGGGACCAAAGAGGGTCTAGCTGAAAATGGAGAATAACCACAGACAGTTATAGTGTATTTAATATACTCCTTGAGTTTAGAGATGAAGATTAATTTCTCGCTAGGTTTTTAGTGGTCTTGTATTTTGATTCCAGATTATCAGAAACTTTATCATGGAAGCCAAGCTGTGTAGGAACTGCTACTGTATTTTCTATGAGGAGTATGTATTTCTACCCCTATGGTGCACTGTAATTTTGAAATTTTTGAAGTTGCTTATGTTCTCTTAAACATGGCTCCTGAATAATGTATATAGGTTGATCTACAAGTCCATCTTCTTACGAAGATATTGGATACATATGTTTCATCATGCTCCTTTTTCCTTCATGTTTATATTTAGCTTATTCCTCTAATCTATTAGTGTTGATCAAGAAGCAGAATATCAGACAAATTACAGCCTTAAGTGTTCTTGTCAGTGAAGTTGTTCTCGTTTAAAGAGTAGCTGTGTTGAGGAAAGGTGTTTTGAGAAAGTAATCTTACTGCATGGATCTTCCTGTCCTCTGTGAAGTAATTTATGATTGAAGACATCTATCACTTTTGATTTTACCAGAAATTGACTAAAAGAAAGTGAAATGGATTATCTCTTAATTCAGACTCGATCAGCGTTAATGTTCAGTGAGTGCCAGATTCAGGGTTTGCTTGTGTCTTCAGGTATGCCTGGAGGAGTCAGTGAAAGGTATGGTGTTTTAGTGGGATAAAAGTGAACATGCTAAGTAGTAGACTCTTCATTTCAAGTGAGAAAGTACATGCTTAAACAAGAAAAAACACAACTTGGATTTCACAAGTTGAGTTCCAGGTCCCATAGTTGCACAAGAACAACTCTAAACAGATTTTTTTCCTAGTGACTATTAAAATAGGAGAAAAGAGTTGAAATTCTGTATTTCAAAATACAACTTCAGTTCAGAAGAGACCGTATGACACACAGGTGGTGGCATTTGTATTCGTATACAGCATTCAGGCAAGTTTGCCAAAGCAAGATGGCAGATTTTAAACTCCCTTGCTGCATGTTTTTTCAAGTAAGTAAGCACAATAGATGTCCAGCTGCCTTGCATGCTAAGGCAGATTAATTCTGTCCACAGAAATATATGTGAGAAAGTTTGTCACCCCTCAGTAAGCATTCCTGTCTTATCACCTGAGCTCCAGAATTTGTATAGTCTTTCTCACCAGAATATAGTGAAAATTGGAAAGGTCTTGTCCTAGAACTCAGTAATCTTAAATGATAACTTTTTAAATAAAATCTTTGTGTGCTGTCCTGTTAGAAGCAGCTTTTTGTGGAGTGGAAACATAATCTTGTGCTAAACAACAGATTAGAATGTGACCGTTTCTTATCTTAACCATCTTATGATATGGTCATTCTTCATTCTGCAATATTCTGGGTTTTTCTGTTTGACTGTCTTTGTGATTTGAGGTCAGTTCCAATTACTCTAACTGAGGACCATCAGAACTATTTTTCTTCTTGTCCTTTCCTCATCCCTTCTTCCATTTGGGAAAGGGAACTCAGGTTTACATGAGTTACTATTCTTACCTCTTATAAACCTACAATGAAATTTATCATTAGAAACTGAAGAAAACATTTAGGAACTTTTAGGAATAAGCATGAATCAAGAAATGTGTTAACAGGCTCAAACAGCCTCTCCTTTCCGTATCAGTGAACAAATATATGAACAGAAAAGAACAACCAGAAAATTCAGGAAAAAATAAAAAAGCTGCCTGCTTATCTGGCCCCATGAAAAACCAGATTATTTAAAGTTATTGCAGTTCTGAAAAAAGGGTTAGTGAATCAAATCTGTTTTGCATCTAGGATGATTTTGCTTATATGTATGAACCTTTCTCCCTTGCTCAAAGTATAAAGGAATGTACTGCAGTGTATTATAATTATTAAGAATATGAATTATGTACAAGTGTGTTCTTCAAGACCTCAGACAGTTTGAATCACGCTCACCATACACACATTTATTACCATGTACTTTTTCAAATGAAGAAATAGGCATAACACAAACTTAATTTTTTTGATTCAGGAAATGAGGATTTTATCAGAATATAGATCCAAGATCCCCCAACGCTAGTTTGCTGTAATAAGCAGGACACCGTAATTTCTGTTTAGCTGGAGCTTTTACTGAGCATTTGCCCCTCGTAACAGAACATTTCAACGTATTGCATATTGATAATCGGATAAACCGGTACATAATACAATATGGGGGAGAGCTTGCCAATTGCTTTGTGAAAGCAAGGGCTTGTGGAATCCATTCTAAAAAGTTTCCTGAAAACAGTAATTTTGCAGCTAGTAGTCTAAAAAGTACACAGTGTTTGCTTAGATCCTTTCCAGGCTTTGTCATGAGTAACTCTTTCAAGACTGGAAATCATATTGCTCCAATATTTCATTGTATATGTCAGTTCTTATCTCAAATGCCAGAAATCATAATTAGGGAAGACTTAGCAGAAGTCTCTTTTGATGAAACTTCACCCAGAAGCCTTTTCCAAGTTTTTTTTTTTAAATTTTTTTCCTTCTTATTTTCAAAACAATCAATATTTTATCTGGTATAAGTCCATAAGTCATTTCAAATTGAAGAACTGATTGATGTAAGCTAATTTAAAAAAAAAGAATAGAGGTATATGAAATGTGATTAAATGTGTATTGTAATATTAACAATGAAATTCTTAGGGAAAAAATAATATGAAAACAAATTATTTTCTAAGTTATTTCTGTTCAGTCTGTTGATTACGTTGCCTAAAATGAGTTCCACCAAATTAAATGACATTTCTTTAAGTAAAGGATTCTTAAAATATATTAAAATAGGACACATCAGCACACATCAGACTTCCAAATCTGTAGTTATATAACTAAATAAAATATTTGGCTGGGAGGTTAGTATTTCCTAAAATTTTACTGTTACAGAATATAGTATCTTTGATGGTCTGTATTTGATGATTGGGTAGTATAATAGTCTCAGTGCTAGGACACGTCACTAACAACCCCTAGATTCATTCAATTAGATTTAGATTATAGTAACGGCTGATACCTTTCACTTCCTGGGTTTTTTTCCTCTGAAAATTTCTTAAAATTAAAATGTTCTTTTATCTGCTATATTTATTTTGTAAGGTTTATAATTCAAAATTTTTGTTTTATTATCAATATTTTATTTTAAAAGAAATGTTAGAAGTAATTCTAGCAATGAAGTCTCTAATGCAGTACTCATATAGATATTTATTAATGCATAGTTTTGTGTAATTATTTTAATATTGTTTGTAATGTACTTAAAAGCATTAGTATTCATATTCATCTCTTGGAAACTGTATGAATTACGTATTTTTATGACTGATTAAGTAACAGCAAAAGTTGCTCAGCCATTTTTGAAGACAGTTTTTATCAGCCCTTGAGAGAGAGAAGCTTGATAAAAAGACCTACAAGTCCTAACGTATCTGGGATGTTCAGGTTGTGTATATTGCTTTCACTGATAAGTAGGAATCTTCTTTCCTTTCATCTCTATCTATTTAGCTAGGGAGAAGTGAGTCCTAAACACAGTACAGAGAGGTAAGTTATAAAAAAACACGTAGTGTAAATAAACACAAGATGATGATCTTCTGAATTTATCTGTAGGAAAGTACTTTATGAAACAGGAGGAGCTGGTGTTCGAGCAAGGTCTTTGTGGAGAGTAGAACCCCTTCGAATAAGGTATTGACACTTTTTAAACTTTTTTGTTAGCAACTCCTGTTACATTAACAGCAATTTGGTTGATACAGACAAAAAAACCACATTTAAATATTTTTGTCCTACTATATGATATATTTAGCCTTTTCATTGTTAACAGTAAAAAGTAATCTACCATGACATATAATGAGACATGAGGAATTTCAATATTTTAAGACAATTCTTTGCCTGTGTCCTGTGTCAAAAGCAGTGTTGCTTATGAGAGACTTCAGCTTGAGACCTTGCTTCTGGCAAGAAGTAAAATCCTTTCCAAGTTTTCTCTTAGAATGTAGGAAGCCCGGATTGGAAGCCAGAAGAGTTATATCCCTCCCGGATGTCTACTTTTTAGATTTGACCTCTCTCTGAGGTGACTAGTTACTTATTGCAAATGAAGCTTCAATGTGTACCATATGAGTACCTAACTTGTCTTTTAACTTTAGGAGCCTTCTGTACTGTATCTTTGTTTTACTCTTGGTGTATTTGTGATTGCAAATAAAATATCCTCATAACTTATAGAGACTTAATCTCCTTTAAATTGTAGGATAGTTCTCTGGAATGTCAAGTCTTCACTTTAGGTTTAATTGGTTTGTTTAGGCAGTCAACTGAATTACAGTAGTTAATTTACACTGTAGTGCTTTTCAGAACACATGTAAGGTTGTTTTTTTTATAGGCACTATATGTAACATCCCAATAAAACAGAGACAGATTATAGAAACAAGAAACTTAAACAAGAAACTTAAACGTATTGCTCCTTTCTAAGGTTTCCTTCCCAATCATTACTGTCAGTTTTGGAATCGCAGTGATGGAAATATTGAAATCAAAAATATGTAGAGTATTCTTTTAAATTTTTTGAACATACTTTACAGCTCAGAGTAGAAATGTTAGTTTTGTATTTTTCTGTAAATTAATTTTTGTTGTCTAACACATTTAGCTGGAGTGGAAGTAACATCAGATGGGGACAGCCTTTTCGTCTTCGACACATTACAACAGGAGAGTACTTGGCTCTGAATGAAGATGAAGGACTTGTAATGTTAGAGAGAGAAAAGTCAGACACAACCTCTACTGCCTTTTGTTTTAGAGCATCAAAGGTAAATGACATTAATGCAAGTTTGTCTTAAATATGAACACACAAATGCTCTATCTGAGTTGGTTCAACTACTTCATAAGCTATTTAAAGAATAAAGAGATAATACATGTAAATGCAAGGATAAATAACTGAAACTGAGAGCAACAAAGGTTTTCTTGAAGAGATGGAATAACAGATGAATACTAGAATAAACTATTAACACATTAAAAAACAAGATTGAAAACTAATAGAAGATTTTGTGCTTTAATCTGAATGTAATGTTGTAGAATCATTTTGCTTGGACAAAATGTCATTAGAAAGTCATTCGCTCCTATTCTATCATTGAATTCATTTAACTGGCAAAATTCTGCCCTTGCTTTTCTTTATGTACTGTGCCGATAGAGGAATTATAAGCAAAATGTTTCCATGTAGTTATGTAGTCAGTGATTTCTAAAGCGTATTTTCAAACTGTGTGCTTTAGTGAGCTAATTGCTAGTTCCTTATCGTTTCTGACTGAGAAAAACAGTACAGATGAGAGGGGATGAAGAATGCATATAGGGAGGTAGGCAGAGTGAATAACTTCTTTTTTCCAAAAAGGTGAAAGATAACTGTTCCAAAGACAACGAAAAATTTGTACGTGCTTTCATGATATTATTTATAGTTGCTACAGCTGCCACAACAGAGTTCTTGACTGGATATGAGATGTTAAATGTTCCATGTAATTTTCAATGCTATATGGTCATAAAAGGTGATGAAAGAGAATTTCAGAGGTTTGATATATGCTAGGTAAAATCTAGCATCAAGAGTCTTAACAACGGCTAGACTTCTCTTACTGAGGTAAAGCAAATACTCCTTTTTAGTAGGCTTAAAATAACTATGTTTATTTTATTAGTATGACTGAGAATACTTATTTTAACCAATCAGAATAATTGAAAAACTATCAGGAAATTTCCTTAGGTTACTAGATGCTCACCAAAAAATCTTTTGGTTCCCTCTTGTAGTGTGAAGGCCATGCAATGTAAATTGTATGTGTGATGCTATTCAGGGACATTTATAATAGCCCCTATGACAGGCCTTCTTAGAATATTGTAGTATTTATGTTTTGTTTTGCATATAAATATATAAAATTTGAATATATAAATATTTATATATAAAATATATATATGTATAGTAAATTATTTCTTTTCTATTGAATAAACATACTATATTGGACGGTTGAGGTGTTGCCTCAAAGACACTTTCAGGAAATTTCTCATAATCCCAGATGGACTTGCACAAGAGTAATTACTCAGAAGTCAGTAATAAATCAGTAATGTGTTAATCCTTTTTACTGTGTTTGTACGTAACATGAGTCTTAATGTACATTTTTATATGAAATGAAAGTTCAACATCTCATGATTGTAAGACTTGTACTGTGCTCTATGGAAAAGAGTATTTTACCTCACGGTAGGCTATAAATTTGCTTTTACCTAAGCCAAGAATAAGAATAATGGTTAACTGTTTACTCTCTGGGCCGGTGAGAGCTGCACTGGACCATGGCTAGAGACATAAGTGTTTCCAAAGCTGAAGGGAACAAACAATGATAACAGGAGGGTTAAATCTCTTCCTGAAAAGAGGAGGGTGAGCTTTTGAAGGTGAAAAATAAACCCCAGAGATTGATCTGGGCTGTGAGAAGGTGTGGATTCTTAAGGCCAACCTGAAGAAATAGCACTGATTATATAGAGCTTGAGGAAAAAACTGTAGAACTAATAGTTATACCACGTATATGTAAGTGGGATTATCTTATAATTTCTGTACATGTGTCTTTGTAAACCTTTGTAACTGTGCTTTCTCTTGTGCATTTTCTCAATCAAGAAATTTTTTAACTTGCTTTTACCTTAATCTGGCATGAATTAAGGGAAATTTCAAGATAACTGTCTAATACCAACGTACTTCATCTTCGGTTGTGTCCTGATCGTTAAACATAGGGTTCTGGGATACCTGGGCTGTTTACAGCAATTCTGCAGTTCAGAATTACAGAATAATTCAAGTTGGAAGGGGCATTGGGCGGTCATCTAGTCCAGACTTCTGCTCAAATCAGGGTCAACATTGAATCCAGACCACGTTATTCAGAATATGCATTGCTGTAGTGAACCCAAAAGGAAATAAAACATCTCTCCATTGAGCTATTTTTCCCAATTTGGAAGCTAGCAAAGCAGTTTTTTAATGAAAAACAGATGCTTTTTGCCAGTAGGCAGAGGTGTGCGGAGGACACCATATCCCCAAGGCTTGCCAAGGAGCTTGTAACATATGGCTTAAAGTCTTATTTTTCCAACAGTTGTTATAGAGACCTTCTTACTGAAACAGCATACCTTCATCTTCAGTATTTTTACATACCACTTCAGCATTCTTCTGTTTTCCTTGTTTTTCAGAACCTGCAGTCACATTTGTAGTACAATGCACACTTTACTTTCACTGTTTTGTTTGCTTTTGCCCAATAACACTGGAATTTGGATTACATTATATTTTAAAGTAACAGAAAACATTATATTGTGTGGTGCTATTTTGAATAAAAACAGCAATATGTCCTTATCTACAGCAGACTACTGAAAACTAATTTTTCATGCACTAGAATTCTTTGGAAAACCCTGAAATTTCTAGGTTTAATATGGGACCCACTTTTGACAAAGTTTTAAAATGTCAGCCTTTATATTTTAAGGCAACAGTTCTGTAATGTCTTGTGACCAGAGACAGCAGGTTCCCTACAGCAGATGGAATCCTGTTTGGAAATGGGATGTTCTCATTCCAGCACAGTACTTGGCTCAGTGTACTTCACTGAGCAGAACCTTGATGCTGCTTATAAACTTCTTGGAGAATAAACTGAGTGAAGAACAAAAGTATCTTTAAAATGTTTATTTCTTTACAAACTGTTGTAGCCAAGAGTTAATATTTGAGATTTCATATTTTATTTCCTTGGTGGTATACACAGCTGACGATGAAGAAATTATTAGTGTAGTCTGAGTAAATAACATTCTAACACATTCAAAAGTCACAGATGACTCATGCAGGAGGATTTGATGTCATTTTAATATTACTGCCAGCATGTAGCTATCTTAGGGGCTCAAGATGGCATTAGGATGCTGTAATAGTTTAGTAGTAATCATAAAGTTTAATAATTATTTTTGGAATATGATATTTTAATTATATATTTGGAATAAGATGATAGGTATTATAGAGTTCTTAACACACAATAGTTGCCAAATGTTCAAGTATTTATTCAGAAGTTCATATTTTACAGTTGTCATTGCCAAGTAAGCATGCATTTCAAAGGCAGCATTAAGATACCTTTTCTATTTATTTTATATGAGAAGAAAAAGTAGAAAGTAAATTTAAGATTTTTTTTCCTGCATTCTGGGGTGTAAGAGTGAAAGTATACAGAAGAATAAACACACTAGCATCCTAAAGGTCAATATATCAGTCCTCTAATAGTTGTAGACTTTATATCTTTGTCTTGTGTTAAACTGGTGTAGCTTATGGCATTATTTTTAATACAATAACAGTGTGCAACACTAGAAGGCATGATTTTAGATTATGCCCCTACTAACCAATGGCCCCCATTGGTTAGTCTGAATAAGAGTTCATCAGTCTGGTTGCCTAACTATTTTTAGGGATAGGTAAACAAGCTGTTAAAGTATTAAGGACTTTTTCCCTACTATGTTTTACGGAAAAACTGTTAAAAAATCTTTGTAAGACGATTGATTTTATTTCTTTGTCCGGTTCTCACTGCCATTATTTAGCCTCCTACTATCATGTAGGAATTCTTTCATTTTTCTAAATCTTACCATTGTTTTACTGTATTAAATATCCTGCGAAAGTTACATTTCTTTTCTGTCAGCCTTGCCTCCCAGTTCTTCCACTCTTTCTTTTTCTTCCATCCCTCCTCCCTTACTCCTTCCCTCAATTCCACCTTCTTTTCTTTCTGTCTGTCTTGATACCGTTCTTTTTTTTTTTTCCTTGCCCTCTTCATCAGTTTTCTTCAGCTTGATTCATTCCTTACCTGAGGGAATTAAACTGAGCATAGGCTGTTGAGAGAGGGTTTTGAAGGAAGAATGCTTGGATTTTTTCCTACTAAGATATGTACAAATATCTAGATAAAACTTTGTTTTTCCTTTTTTACACCCCCTCCCCCTGAAATCTTTATGTGACTACACTTTTCAGCTGTTAGAAAATACTCCTTCTCTTTGTACACTGATATCAAATGACTTGGCTGAAATCCTAGAGAAACTGGACAGAGCACAAAGAGCAAAACATCATGAAGAGAAATTTATGTTGTATTGCTTAAAGCGAGAACAGCCTTTCAGCTCCCCAAATTAATTCTGTAACTTCATTTCTGAAATTCTGAAAAATCTTTTTTTATGTTTAATGTAGTCAAAAAGGACCAGTATAACTTTATTTTTTTTCAAACAGTAACTTGATTGGTATAACTTATTATCACATTACGACTTCTTTCATTGGCATTTTCATTAATGTGTGCTTCGTAATACGGATGCAATACTTAAAAAAATGCTTTACTTCTTCAGAGTGCTATGTAAAAATGAAATGATTAATTATTGACAGTTAATTTATGCTATTTACTGTATTATTAGTTTCTTAATGGCTTCACCATACATGTGTATTGGGAGAGTTCATCTTTACCTGCACATAATAGTGCAATCCACTTAAATAAGATGTGGCATGATTTCCCTATGGTCTTACTATTGTAATGGTATCCCCAAGGAAGGCACGGTAATTTCATTACACTTTGTCTTGGTGTTGCAATGCTGTCTGTTTAGACTAAAATTGTTATTGAAATGTGACAGCTAAATTCCCTTTAAATGAAAGTGGATAGCAGAGTTAGGACAAAATTTCTTTTTACTCCACAGATATTATTGAGTATTCAACAATACTCAATAATTTCATTACACAGTAATGAAATAAGAAGCCTGTTACACATAAAATAATTTGAACTCTAGGTCAGTGTCTGACAGACTTTCTTTACTTTGTGACATATTACCACACTTACAGTTGAGTACACTAGAGCATTTGGAATCACAGAAAAATGATATCTTCCAATTATTTTATTTCCTTAGCTTTTTTTTGTTTAATTGCACGTGCATAAGCACACGTGTGTGCACACATCCATAATTTCCTATTACAGAATCTGCTATATCATTCTCTTCCTATTCCTGAATTTTATTTTGGAAATAAAATTTTATTTTTTAACATAGTTCTTGCTTCTGTGCTAGAGATGTAAAATCATCTGATTGTGAATGGAGAATAATGGGATTTGGTAGTGCTTGGGCTTACAAAAATTGTACTCTGTTCCAACCAAGAATTGAATAGTATGTCCAAACGAGATCTGACAAACATCCCATTCCTCTTACAAAGATGATAAATGTAAAAGGCAAATGTTACTTGCTGTCAAAATTAATATTTTCTACTTTGCTGGTTGTTGCAATGCAGATGCATCATTCCAACTGACACTTTTATCTGCATATGCAAGTTACAGGCAGAAAATTCTCTAGCATAAAAATATTTTAACTGAATTTCAAAATATGTTTCTGCTAATATTTCTGTTTTTATATTTAAACTAAAATAAAAAGGGGAAAATTGTAGTAGGCTCTACTAAATTGAGACCTTGATTAAATCCATAATTTTATGTTAGGTTAAATGTTTGTTTGTTTATTTATTTATTTTACATCTTTATGGGCTGATAGTTTTTAATTGTTTTTTTTTGTTGCAGTGAAAATGCTGTTGCTTCCAATGTGAAATGATTTTTATTCAGTTAGAATCTGACCGATGAATTTGATAGAGGAAACTAGGATTTATGTGAAATGAGCTCTTAGCTGTATCTTAGCAACAATGACAGCATAAATGTTATTTTTCAGTAGAATTCAATGGTTTATGCCTTTTCAGTACAGAGGTTAAATGCGAACTTTCATTTTTTGTTCCTAGGAGTTAAAAGAAAAGCAGGATTCTGCTCTTAAACGTGACATTGATGGAATGGGGGTCCCAGAAATAAAGTATGGTGATTCAATCTGCTTTGTTCAACATGTGGCCAGTGCCTTGTGGTTGACTTACAAAGCACAAGATGCTAAATCAGCACGTTTAGGTCTCCTGAAAAGAAAGGTAAGTTTGTCTGTTTTTTTAGTTACTTGGTGAATAGACATTAGTTGCGGAACTATTTTTGTCTGTCCTGATTTCTACCATCCTGCTAATGTAGCAGTTGTGCGTTTAATCACTTTGTGCTGTTTTATTGAAAATAGTGTGATTGTTTGATTCTAAGAATGAAAAAAAATGCTCCTAATTACATAACTGAAGAAAAACTTGCTACTAAGAGATGTACTTAACTGTTTTTCTTGCCAAAAGAAATGTTTACTTGGGGCTCAATTTTTATTTTGGACACTTCAGTAAAATCCTGAAAATCCTCATTTAGATAATCGGATCCCTTTTTCTAAAATCTACCTTTACCGGCTCAAGGACTTAAACTTGTAAGTCATTGTACGGTGAATGTACATTCACTAGAGATTTAGAAATTTTTATTGAATATATGGTATGAAATGGAAATTAAATTTGTTCATTAATATCCCTCAAGA